ATATACGATCGGTGATTGCTTGACCGCTTGCATGCGGCGGCCCGATCGGTCATTTTCTTTACCTTCGGTGCACGCAGATCAATTTATCTTCAAGCTACACCGACCGGGCGAATTTATCGACCGGTCAGACGCGCTCCACATCGGCGGACATTCGAGTCACGCCACCGGTCGGGGAAGCCAGGAGCACACAGCATAATTCCCCGATCTGATCACCTCTTGTCCACTATTGCACCCACTCGTGCCTCGAGCGCACAATAATGTGGGGGCTGGGATGAAGGAAGTATTTACAGGCCCGTCGTTCGGAAATATCCCGACCGTAGAGGCTTACTTATTTTCAAAAATTTTGACAAGGCCTGGAGACCGGGTAAACCCGATCAGGTTGGCCAGTTTGATGTCGAAATCTCGGATGCACGACCGGGCCATAAAGCCATAAGGTCGGGCGTCGAACGGATCGAGTAGTGCAGGACCTGGCCAAAAGGCCATGAGGTCGAGCATTAAGGGTCGGCATGCGCATGACTAAAAGTAAAAAAGCAGAAAGAAAGACGAACAATATAAGTTTAACAAAAAACGAGTTTTCATTAATTGAAGAAGAGTGCCCGGTACAAATTCGGGACCGGGCTCCCAATCAGTGTTCCTTTACAAAAAAGAAGAAGCCTATTCTACTTCTTTACTTCCTGAGCTCCAGCAGCCGCTTCCTTCCCGCTCGGAGTGGCCGCAGACGATCCACCAGGCCCGGCCGCCTTTTCTTTCGGAGCGAAGGGAGAGGGACCGGGGTCAGCTAGGTCTGGGGGCAAGGTCGATAGGACCAGTTGGAGGTCGTCTCCTTCAAGAGCTTGCTCCATCCGGGTACAAGCTCGCTCGAGCATTTTGCGTTGCCCGGCTTTGAAGGCCCATCGTCCAAAGGAGAGGATTAGGTCCTCTCCGACCTTTGTACCCCGGGCCGCTGTGAGAAACGCCGAGCCCGACTCGCTGTCCTTGAAGACAGACTGCACCAACTCGCTCGGATTGTCGAGTCGGGCCTTCAGCTCCTTGGCCTCCCCGATCGCCCGTTGGGCGACCTTCTCCGCGAGAACCCGGTCTTCCTCGCTCTTCTTTAGGCCCTTCTGGGCCTTCTCCAGCTCGGCCTGGATGTCCTTGATTTCCTTCAAGCGACGAGCGGCCGTCTTCTTGTGATGGTCGGCTTCTTCGGCCAGCATGGCCCGACCTTGTAGGAGCTGGGCCGCTCGGGAAATCTGCGGTACAAAAAGATATTTGGGATTAGCCCCGATGAAGATACTTGTACAAAAGAGAAAGGCAGTGGGAGAAAGCTTACCTCGGCCAGGTCATGGCCAATCCTCTCGGCCACTTGGGTTGGGGTCATCTTCCCCAGATCCTCCCTAGCTGGCCCGGCGTTGCCAATCCGGGCCAATATAGACGTGTCGTCCTTCCCTCGCCCGACCGAGGGGTTCGGACTGCGTTGTTCTCGACGGCGTTTCATGCCGCCCACCTCGGTCACGCCCCGGTCGGAGACCTTCTCCTTACCACGGGCGACTTCCACCCGGGTGACCAGGACGTCTGAGGGCTCGACGATGAAGCCCTCGGCCGTCGTCACGGTCGAGGCGCTTAGCGGTCGGGCCGAGGGGATCTCCTTTTCCCCGGCTGGCTTCGCCTTCGCCTTCTTCTTGCCGCCAAGGGAGATCTTGGCGGGCAGGGGAAGGGGGGCATCTTCGTCTCCGAACTCTGCCATGGCTGCAAATAAAGAAGCAAAGTTAGATTGATCGGAATATAAAGTTAGATCGGGAAGAGAAGCTCGGGTTAAACCTTTCTTCTTCCGCCTCGACGGCTTGGCGACCGTCACGCCCATAGGTACGGGCAGATATTTTTCCCGTAGCTCATACGTAGGGGGCGGGAGTTTAGCCGCCTCGAGACTCTCGACCGTTCGGAAGATTGTATACTCGTGCAGCTCGCTCGAGATCCGAGCGACAGTCTCCTTGAGCGCTTGTGTCTCGTCTGGCACCACTTGTTTCCGAAAGTGGGTGCTCCAAGCGCGGTCGACCGGGAGGATCCAGGGATCGTATCTGATGGAGAAAATTCTATTTTTCCACCCCTTGTTGTTCCCGGGCAGGCCTTTGATGGCGCACATGTCCGCCCGAGACTGCAGCATTAGAAACCCGCCTCCGTAGCTGCCCGGGAGAACTTTGACCTGGTAGATGTAGTTGAATAACTCCATCGTGCAGGCGGCTTCGTGCCGAGCGCATATCTGGGGAAAGCAGGCGATGATCCGGTGCGAGTTGGGGCAGATCTGAGCCGGGACGACCCGGTAGTATGCCAAGAAGGCCGTCAAGAGGGGGGGGGGGGGGGGGGGGGAGGGAATGGCGATCGGGGCCATCAGGGAGTCGTAATGCATCCCGATCCACTTGCCCCGGTGCCGATCGATCACATTCCCTAACTTTCGGCTCGTGTCAAATTCCACCCGACCTCTGAGCCTTTCAGCAATCCTAGCCGCTTCGCCTTTGGTCAATCGGCTCATTTGTTGTTCGACATTCTCGCTGTTCAAGAATTCGAACTCCGTTGCTGCTGGTGCGCTTGGCCCAGCTGTGTCTTCCTCGGCCGGCTCGGGAGTATTTTCCCGGTCTCCTCGTCGAGGAGCAGTTTCCGGGTGGTCCCCAACCACTCGGGTAGGCGTTTCCCTAACGCCTTCGGGCGGGGAGCCCTGTCTGCCTGATGAGGCTCCTTCTTCTTCCTCTTCGCCGGAACTCCCCGATTCGCTTGAGCTGGAGCTCGATGACCCAGAGGAGCTTGACGCGTTGCCTTGTTCGGAAGCCCGCTCGGGGGCTGGCGCCGGTCGGTGGATGACCTCGGGAGAGTAGGACATGATGTCCACCTCCTCATCGCTGAGGTACTCGACCTCCTCGTCATAGTCCGCGATCGAGGCGTTCTGGCTGTCAGAGTCCGTCATTTCGATCTACCTAAAGGTTGGTCGGGGTTAGTAAGGGACTTGAGACGTCTGGGACAGTTAGTTGGCCTATCAGTTCTACTTATAAATGAAAGCGCAAAGTAAAGGGAGGGGTTGAGAACTTACCGAATGGAGGAACTTTGCGGATGAAAGCTTGAAGGTTTCCTTGCTCGACTGCCTTGCTAGGATGCTCTGCTCGGGGCTCTCTGAGAGTACCGACTGAAGCAAAAGAGTGAGGAAAGTTCAAATGAGGACCTCAAGGGCCTATTTATAGGAGAGCATTTAGGCGGGAAACGAGCCCACTTGCTTGACACGACCCGCACTGATTCCGAGGCGACGGTTGCAGTCGCAGAGGCCGGCAATGGCCGACACGTGGCGAGGAGAGGAAAGTCAGCTGGCAGGTCGGGTTTATGGCCGACGGTTGAGCTTCTTCATCCCGTCCCGTTTTTTCCCGGACGATCAAAAAGGCCCGGGCTGGGGGGCTCTTGGTAGGAAATATCCCGACCGACATAGCTCCACCACGACCGAGATGCCTTCGTCCTTTTCTCTTTTATCTTTTGCAGGTAACAGGTCGGGCTCCTCGTGAAAAACCCGGTCGGGAGTTGCCCGAGCGGCAGTGTCGACCACCGAGCGGTAGCCCTTTGGCGAGAGAGCTGATAAAAGACACGTGGCGGCTCTCTACATCGACAGACAGGGCACCCGCGAGGATGACACGTGGAGGCTACGTGGAGAGCATGCCGAACGACCGGATCTTTGTCTCCGGCACAGCGGCTATAAATACCCACAGTAGCTACAGTGGAGGGGACTTTTGGACGATCGATAGGTTGTTGTTAGAGAATCCCGACCGCAGTCAGTCGGTACTCAGAGCAACCAAGTGGATTGTACTTAGGGCCTCTACCGCGATCAATAAAGACATTTACTTGCTTTAATTGGTCTCGAGTTATTTCATATTGCTTACGTATAATTAGCAGTATCAACTATCTTTTTTTCCCAGGAATTAAAATACCAGGGGGACATGGGATTTTAATTCCATGAAAATGGGGGAATTGCAATTCCATGGAATTGCAATTCCCTCCAACCAAACTACGGAATTTAATGGCCTTTGGAATTAGGTGGGAATTAAGTGGGAAGGGAATTTAAAATCCCTCCAACCAAACGCCCTGTTAATGTGCGTGAGTCGTGTGCTTGTGCGTGAGTGTGTACTTACTGTGAGTTGTTTTTAAAATTTAAGGTGCGTGTGTTTTTGTGGCGTGAGGCTTGTGCTTAACATGTGTGACATGTACTTAACATGCATGAGGTTGTGTTCTGAAGGTGTTTTGTTTGTGTGCTTAATGTAAGTGTGTTGTGTACTTACGTCAGATTATGCTTAACGTGTGTCTACCCGCAGAACCGCACGAGAAACCTTAAATGCACATGATCCCTTCACTCTATATATATATATATATATATATATATATATATATATATATATATATATATATATATATATATATATATATATATATATATATATATTGAGAGAGAGAGAACAAAGTGGACAACCTCAATTACAAGTGTTGATGATTTACCAAATAGGCACCATCAAGATTACAAGTTTCCCTGGTTACTATATATATATATAGAGAGAGAGAATGGAAGTAATACAGAGTATTCATAACAATTACTGTATTTTTTTTTTTGAAGATTTTTTCATTATTGTTGAGATCTCAGTTCGGTTTGTGCCTCCACGTATGCATCCCGGCCTATAAATAGGGCTCAGTTTGCTCCGGTCTTTCATCATCTTCTCCAGTTCTCCGTCACCTTACATGAACTTCAATTCACCACATTTGCAGCTAGCTCCCAGCATCATCCATTGATTATCTTCTTCAACACATTTATATCATAAATCATCACTAACTAACATTCCATTATTATTGTCTTCTTCACTCACCACCTAGCGCAGCTAGCTTGTAATTTCCGGTTAGTCTCTCTTCAAATTTTCTTTAAACTGTAATCTCTCTCGGATCAAGAAAACGATGATTACACGGCGACGAACATGGCTCCCTTTTTTTCGGTTTTTACGTAAATGGCGTGTTTTCTGGCAGGGGAAAGATCGATGGAGATGGCGTCTAAGGGACGTGTGGGCATGGGAAGCGGAAATGGGTCGCCGGGCGGACAGAATGGGTTGGCTAAGATTCAGACCCGGCCGGGAGAGACGAGCGGCGGGGTGTGCCACGACGACAGCTCGCCGCCGGTGAAGGTTCAGACCATCGACGAGCTTCATTCTCTTCAGAGGAAAAAGTCTGCGCCCACGACTCCCATTAACGGGGCTCAAACTGCCTTTGCGCTGCCCGGCTCCGAGGAGGGACGCCACAAACAGCAGCTCCAATCCATCAGGTACGTTACGTACAACCTTAAATTAATCAATCTCGTATAAAAACTATTATAGTTTCTGGCAAAACATCAGGCGTACGTTTACTAAAGAACAGGCATTGAGCAGTGCCTCCTTGGCGTCGCTGACGAGAGAGACCGGGCCGAAGGTCGTGAGAGGAGACCCCGCCAGAACGGAAACCCCGAGGATCTCGCACGACCACCACCGCCACGCCACGCCCGCCATTAGCGTCAGTGATAGTGCTTTGAAATTCACCCACATTCTTTACAACCTTTCTCCGGCTGGTAAGTGGTAATAAACATATACCCAAATTTTACCTCATCATTCTTTTATTCCTTATTTCCTGTTTGCTAGCTTTTGGTATAATTTCCAAAGAACACTGTTCCACTATCCCACCTTAGCTTAATTCTGCCCGCACCGGTAACTCTGTTGGTTCCTAGGTTATATTCTAGACCGTGGGCAAGGACTAAATTCTAGATCTAGCCTAACAGAGCATTTGGAGGATGTAAATCACGGTGACGGTGTGCACAAAGAATTTGTCCACTTTGGGTATGATTCCCAAATTGCTGAGGTTCGAACCTTGGTCTCTTCCCCCAAATACTAATTACTGAACCATTGAGCTAAGCCTGTGTGGGCTTTAAAAAGAGGGGTTGGGGATGAACATGAGGACTTGGAGTCACCCATTTTAGTACTACTCTCACTCAAGCACGCTTAACTTCAGAGTTCTGATGGGATCCGATTCATTAGTGCTGGTATGATTGCATCCCACGGACCCATCAATTATCCTGTTTGGCCGGGGTGTGGGTTGAGGTGGAGGAAATTTGGCCTTTTAATTCGCGGGCAAGCATGTGGCTAATTCTTGATTTTAATTCTTTCAATCTCTATGTTTAGAGGATATATACAGAGTAGTAAGTACTGTTTCACTGATTGAAACAGGATAAAGTTTGTAACTTGATGTTGATTTGGACAGAACTGTATGAACAAGCATTGATGTATGAGAAAGGGTCCTTCATTACATCCACCGGTGCATTGGCAACGTTGTCTGGGGCTAAGACGGGGCGTTCACCAAAGGATAAACGTGTTGTGCGCGATGAGACCACAGAGAATGAACTTTGGTGGGGCGAGTATGTATCTGCAATATAATTCTGCATTTTCTTTCTGATAATGAAGGGAAAGTTCCCGCTTTTTCTGCATTATATTTGATAATTGAGTGCAGTATGTGTGTTTATCTTACCATATAGCTTCTGCTTTTCTTATATATATCTGCAATTGCAACTGTATGCGTTGATGGGTAATGTAGAGGATCGCCAAACATTGAGATGGATGAACATACCTTCTTGGTGAACCGAGAAAGGGCTGTGGATTATTTGAACTCTTTGGATAAGGTAATTTGGATAATATAGAAGCTAGTGTAGTTTACACTGTAAAATTTAAGGTTTTGTTGTTTCATAATGACAATTTATATATGCTGAGAATTGAGCAGTACGTACGTTTAGCTCCTTCTTTGCCAGTCTTATAAGTGAATTGTATCTGATGAGCATGGATGGTGAATCGATCAACGACATCCTATCCAGGTATTTGTTAATGATCAATTCTTGAATTGGGATCCAGAAAACCGAATTAAAGTCAGAATTGTGTCTGCTAGAGCCTACCATTCCTTGTTCATGCACAACATGTAAGTAAATAATGGAAATGGTTAAACATTTTTGCCCGGTTCGTTATTGCATTTGCGTTGTGTTTGCCTACGTTTTTACCCAGTGGATATATAGGTGTATACGACCCACACCCGAAGATCTGGAGAATTTTGGCACTCCTGACTTCACTATTTACAACGCTGGACAGTTCCCGTGTAACCGTTACACACACTATATGACATCCTCTACTAGCATAGATATAAACCTTTCTAGAAGGGAAATGGTGATCCTTGGCACCCAATACGCGGGGGAGATGAAGAAAGGACTGTTTAGTGTAATGCACTATCTCATGCCTAAACGTCGAATCCTCTCCTTACATTCTGGTTGCAATATGGGCAAAAATGGAGATGTTGCCCTCTTTTTTGGCTTGTCAGGTAACTTATGTATCTATCTGCTTTATTCTCAACCTTTGCTGATAAATGAAACTAATTCGTTTTTTGTTTGGCAGGCACTGGAAAGACTACTCTGTCCACTGACCATAATCGATATTTGATTGGGGACGATGAACACTGCTGGAGTGACAAAGGTGTGTCGAATATTGAAGGAGGTTGCTACGCCAAGTGTATAGATCTGTCTAGAGAGAAAGAGCCTGATATCTGGAATGCCATCAAGTTTGGGACAGGTCTTTTAAATTCTTGAAATGTTGTATGATCTTATCGGTTTTCTTGATTATTTGATGATGTGATTGTTTGGCATTACCAGTACTGGAGAATGTGGTGTTCGATGAGCACACGAGAGAGGTGGATTACGAAGACAAATCTGTTACGGGTGTGAATTTGTACCTCAATTTCTTGATTTTGTTAAGAGCTAATAATGAATTGTGTAAGACTGTCTTACGGGTGAGATTCTTGATTTTCTTTCAGAGAACACTAGAGCAGCTTATCCCATTGAATACATCCCGAATGCGATGATCCCATGCGTGGCTCCTCACCCGAAGAACGTTATACTCTTGGCTTGTGACGCGTTTGGCGTGCTCCCACCCGTGAGCAAGCTCAGTGATGTGCAGACAATGTACCATTTCATTAGTGGCTACACAGCTCTGGTATATATGCAAATTCCTCATTCAATTCTCTCCAAATACCTTCATTCATTCAACAACCTATGACTGATCGAACAAATGCATTCAAATCATAGGTTGCCGGCACAGAGGAAGGCATCAAGGAGCCAAAAGCCACGTTTTCCGCTTGCTTCGGTGCAGCATTTATAATGTTGCACCCCACCAAGTATGCCGCCATGCTAGCTGAAAAGATGCAGAAACATGGAGCCACCGGGTGGCTCGTCAACACTGGCTGGTCTGGCGGAAGGTATCATACATACTTCAGTCAAATTTCCCGTTATCTAGTTGGTCAGACTGTTAACTTGGTAATCAGAGTAGGAACAGCTTATTGGCCTTGCTGTGGCTAGTGACTATGAGTTTCTGTCGTCCCTCAAATTCCATGTTATGTCTATATTATATTGCAGCTATGGTTCAGGTAGCCGAATAAAATTAGCATACACCCGAAGAATTATCGATGCTATACATTCGAGTAGCCTTTTAAAGGCGAGTTACAAGAAGACTGAGATGTTTGGGCTGGAGATTCCAACAGAAGTTGAGGGAGTTCCAGCAGAAATCCTGGATCCAGTGAACGCTGTAAGTTATTATTGCTTACTGTTTTTGGATATCTGCTAAGGTTGTTTCATTATTTTACTCGAATGCATGCATGCATGCAGTGGTCTGATAAGAAGGCTTATAACAACACACTTGTGAAGCTAGCTGGGCTTTTCAAGAACAACTTTGAATCATTTGTGAACCACAAGGTTGGGCTGGACGACAAGTTGACGGATCAGATTCTTGCTGCTGGTCCCACTTACTAATTATGTTGTTTAATCAATGGTTTACTAACACCACATTTGGTTTGCAAATTATGTTTATTGCAGGTTTAGATTTGTATGTTTAATTTGTTGATATCTTTTTTAATATGCATGTCAGCTCTTCTTATCCTTTTGGACCCAGATTTTCCTTTCTTTTGTCATCTTCTTTCTTTGACATTAATTTTTTTTTTTTTTTTCATTAACAAAGATCTAAAGACAAAACATTACAAATAAAGAATGAGTCATTAAAACAAATTCCCTAGCTAAAAGTAAATGGACAACACAATCTGCGGTTCACAAATGGTTTAGCAAAAGAGACGAATCGTCACAATTTACCTCCTTCAACAATTATTGAACAAGAGTTTTAGAATTAGTCTAGCATAATGTCACGGATTGTTTTTCCGTGACCATGCGAAGACCCAAAAAAGTGTGAAAACGGCAAACTGGTTAGCAATGCCATGCGGGTGAAGGGGGCGTCAATAGTGTTAAGGGTATTCTACCTTAGACGCTAAGGTCTAGCCGAGTTAGGCAACCGACCCAATTAAGTTTGGAGAGCCTATGGCTAGTCTTGGACTTAACTATGAAGGGGACCTGATGCGATCCAAAGGCACTGGTTGGGAGCTGTTGCCGCTTCCCAAATAAGCCCATGACAGGGCGAAACCAATGTATGCGTATGTGGTTAAGGCTAGTCCGCAGAGCACGAGGGGCCTTGAACGCCGCGGGCATTGCCCGTAACAATAAGCTTACATATTTAATTTATCCAAAATCTTGTCACTCCTTTTGGGCCATGTGGACCTAGTATTTGCCACATCAGTTGGTGACACGAACAACGTGGGGAGCCATAGCCAGAAAATCCGTGCAAATCCACCTAATAATTCCAAGAAAAACACTTTCACCACTCAGAAAAATCTAAAAATTCCTTTTTATGCTGTCCCGAACAGGGGACCATGAAAAACAGTCAGCGTCGCAGTAAGTGACAGGTTCCCCACTTGATACGATCCTTCCTTTTCTATCCGAAACTCCGTGGCCTTCTGCAATTTTCCCAGCCCGCGTCAAAACGCAAATGCCACGATTTAATCGCATCGTTGCACAGTATTCAATGCAATGGCCCTGGTAGTAAACCGACCTCCTCCAAATCAAATTCAAATTCAGATTGAATTTCATTCCTTCGATGCTCAGTCCTCTCCCACCTTTTCCGATCTCTTTCATTCCTCTCGTTCTCTCTCTTCGTGGCCGGAGTCCGGCTGATTCAGCTGGAAGGCGGTTGCCGTTGCAGTAGCATTTTCCGGTTTCTGCTGAACTTCGACATCGCGATAGGTTTTTCGTTGCAGACGTGTATGTTGACTTTGAACTTGTGCTGTGTGTTCAGCTAGCTGCTACGATTCGAAATTTTGAATTCGTTGTTTTTTGGAGAGGGTTTGAAGTTTGTGTAGCGTGTTAGGGTTGTGGAGGGAGCAGAATCCTTGTTTGGCGAGGTGGATTTTGGAAACAGTTTTGAATTTCAAGTGGATTTTGGGGCGGATGGTGGTTAAACATGCCTAGCATTAGAGCTCCAGCTACCAAGAGAACAACTACTCTAACGGTTTAGACTTTTCCTTTATTTCTATTACGGAGTATTTTTTTTTTTTTTTTTTAATAATAAATTTTCTTGCACAACTTAAATTCTTATGTGTAAGCTCTTCTCATCTTCTGTGGATATAGGTGACCATAAAGTGTCGACCATTGACGGAAAGAGAACATGGTCGCAGTATAGTTAGACTCCATAATGACAAAGTATGCCTATTCTCTGTGGCCCTTGTCCTTTTCCCATAATTTTCTATGAAGAAATAATTTATGGGAGTACTACACTACTACCTGGTTATACATGAAATCTACGGGGGCATCTGTTTTATTTGCACATATTGGATTTCTTTTGACAATGTTGATTTCAGGAGGTACTTGTTTTGGATCCTGACCTGTCAAAGGATTACCTTGAACGCATAAGGAATCATACCAAAGAGAGAAGATATTCTTTTGATTATGCATTTGGACCTAACTCCAACAATTTGGTATGTTTTGCATTACTGGCTGGCAAAGGCTTACTTAGTTGTGTTAAATTCAATTCCTTAATTGTTGCCTAAAGGTTTGAAGAAAAGTAATAGTAATGCTAAAAGGAGCCCTTTCTGGATTTTTTTTTTTCTTTTTTTTTTTTTGTTAATAACCAGCTTAGGTGAACACTTCTCACTCAACAGAATTAAATTGAAGAACCACTGCATTGATCTCTTTTGCCTACTTGTCATGTGCCCCTTTGTCTTGCTGTAGAATTTATTTTAATGATACGTTTAGTGGTTATTATTACAGTGTAGGGTTTTTAATGGAAATTCCAGCTTGATAGGAAATTTTTTTCGTTTTTGTTATACATGATTAATTAATACTGAATGCTGCCTTTTTCAGGATGTTTACAAGAAAAGTATTCAGTCTACAATAGTTGGAGTTATTCAAGGGCTCAATGCAACTGTGTTTGCTTATGGATCAACAGGCAGGCATGTCACATATATACTTTAAAGCATCTGATTCCACCCCATCCCCTTCCAAGATGACCATTAAGTTTTTGGGATGTTGGTCTTGATTTTTGTGATTTTTATCTTACTTGTTTCATTTCTTTTCTTAGTTCAACTAAAAATTTGATGAGTATTGCTTGTTATGCAGTGGTAAAACATATACAATGGTTGGGACTAAAGATGATCCTGGACTTATGGTTCTCAGTCTGAATACAATTTTTGATCTTATTAACAAGGATAACAGCTCTGACAAATTTGAAGTTACTTGCTCTTACCTTGAAGTATACAATGAGGTGGGAAGTTTATATCTTAAATATGCTTACATATTATGCAGTTTAAGCTAAAAACTATAAAGACAATGTCTTTGCTGAGTGCAGGTTATTTATGACTTACTTGAGAAATCATCAAGTCACTTGGAGCTTAGAGAGGATCCAGAGCAAGGCATAGTGGTTGCTGGTTTGAGATGCATTAAGGTTTAGTCTCTTTTTGGCATCTGTAGGATCTGCCAAATCTATGCATATTTAGTTTCAAGCAATTCAATCTAAAACTAAGAGAGCTTTGTAACACATGGTTGATCTATTTGGTTCTTGAGAGTCTTTTGATTATGTTTATATGTTGTTATGTAAACGTTATTTTGTGAAGAATTACCAGCAAACAATAGTTTTTGAGGAGTGATTGATCTATTTAGTTCTCAGCATCTTTTCATCAAATCTGGGTTGATATCCTTGTGCCTTCGGTTGTTAGCCAAAGTTTTAACACGTGCAGCTTTCCTAAATGTTACTTGGATTAGAAAGAATGCAACAGTTAAAGTATCTGCTTAGTACATTTGTCTTGACATTTCTTTGTTTGTGCACTTCATCAATTTAAAATTTAGGGTGCCCCAACTATGTCATGTAATTTTTAAGCTATCTATGCCATAACATGCAATATTTTAATTCAATGGTGTTCTATAGTGTTTGGAACATACTCATAAATTTTAGAATGAGATATCAATAATAGCTCCTTCTTTCATCAATTAAATGTATTAAGTTTAGCTGAATCAATCTTTAGCATCCTTACTGACTTTGTTGCTTTTATCTAGGTGAAGTCAGCTGATAAAATTCTTGAGCTTTTAAATTTGGGGAATAGTAGGCGAAAAACTGATAGCACTGAAGCAAATGAGGCTTCCTCACGGTGAGTAATACTTGCTTTCTACATCTCAGGTAAAGAAGTGCCACCTCCTAGTGTTCAGTGAGATATATAGCATATTCTTGTACAATTCCGTAAACATGACTGGCACTTATTTGTGGCAACAATTTAATGACTAATGTGAAGTACCAGAGAACATAAATCACCAATAGAATGTAGTGAATTATGGGAGAACAATCTTCAGTTTAAAATAAAATAAAATAAATCTGTTGCATTAATCAATGAGGCATAAGTTTAAGTATCACTGCTGGCTTTGTTCTGATGGTTGTCTAGAATTGGTTATGTCAACAAACTTATTTGTTAGGATCCAGTTTAAATACCTTTCTTCCTCTACTTCTAAGAATTTTTTCCTTAATGGTTTCTCTATTTATCTTTCTCCAGTCACTTATTATTTGTTTGGTCAACAACACTATTAGCAATTTAATAAGTATTGCAGAAAAAATCAATGCTTGAAGAAATGGGTCCATTAGTTTATGCTCAATTAATTATGAGAATTAAAGAACTTTTATACTTTATCAAATATGTTTTGATAGTCTACATCCTCAATTATGCTATGCTTTTGACAGCTCACATGCAGTGCTGGAGATACAAGTTACAAGAAAACAGAGTGCAAAATATCCTAATCAGGTTATTAAAGGAAAACTTGCACTTGTAGATCTAGCTGGAAGGTTTGCTTTTGTTCACCCATGAACCGCTTTCATCTTGCTGTCCTTTCCCTGCTTAAGCAAAGTCTACTGGCCATTTACTTGAAAATTATGATGCAGTGAACGAGCGTCTGAAACCAATAGTGGGGGCCTGAAGTTAAGAGATGGTGCTAATATTAATAGGTCACTGCTTGCTTTGGCAAACTGCATAAATGCTCTGGGAAAACAACAGAAGAAGGGTCTAGCTTATGTTCCTTATCGTAATAGGTATACATATTCTTCTTGTGGTAGTATAATGTCTTAGTACTAAAGAGTAATGAAGCTAATCTCCTGATCTTCCACAGCAAATTGACGCGTATTCTTAAAGATGGCCTGAGTGGTAATTCTCAGACAATAATGATCGCCACCATATCTCCAGCAGATAGTCAGTATCACCATACTGTTAACACTTTGAAGTATGCTCACCGAGCAAAGGAAATTAAGACACATATTCAGGTGAGAGTCCAATCTATAGATGGCTAGGAACTTTTATAAGTAATATATTTTATACTTGAGCATATGAATATGCTGTAGTTTGTGGTAAAGTTGCTACATGTGGTTGAAACAAATTTCTTTTTCAATTGTTATATTCTGCAAGATAAGAGGGTATTTATTTAATAATTGTGTTTCTGCTGAATTTTTTTGTTGCATGGTAGTTTGGTTTCATAATTATTTGCCAATAAGATACTAGAAGTTTGTAGTGTCAGGATCAATCACAAAATTTCCCTGATTATTAATAGCATGCACAGAAAAATTAAAAGAATGCAAACAGAATCCAGATGCTCCATGATTCAAATGTCTCTGATGTTAATCCTTTAACTGATCTTGCTATTTTAATTCAGTACTATGATTAGTAGTCAAAAACTTTTTTCAATGTTATGGGTTGTTCTTATTTGATAGATCTCTTTGTTCATCTCTATCTATGTGCATTTCCTAATAATTGGGCATAACTTTCTTTAAAACTTATCAACATTCATGTGTTAATTGTTTCAGAAAAATGTTGGCACAATAAACTCTCATGTTTCAGACTACCAAAGAATGATTGATAGTCTTCAAGTAAGTTCTTTGTGTATTCTATAATATGTTTATTCGAAATTAAAATTTGTGTTTTGATGAAGAGATAATTTCCTTTTAGAATGAGGTTAGCCAATTGAGGAAGGAACTAGCTGAGAAAGAATCTCAACTAAGTGCTATGCCTACTGAAAAATATTCGGACAATGAACTTTCTTGGTTGGAGACATTGAGCCTAGAAACAAGTGAAAATGTTCAGGAGAGGATAAATTTACAGAAGGCTTTATTTGAGATTGAAGAAACCAATACACACAACCGCACTGAACTCCAGCATCTTGACGATGCAATTGCAAAACAACAGGTTGTTAGTTTTGTTTAGATTTATGTTATTGCACAGCACCTTGATGGCATCTACAGCTGTTAACTGAAGTTGTGTGGTTAACTTTTCAAGTATATTTTCTTCTTCTAGGCAATTGAAAGCAGAGGAGCAGTTGTGCAGGCTCTCAGATCAAGGCGTCAGGTCATTCTTGACAACATTCGTGATAATGATGAACTTGGTGTAAAATATCAGAAGGTGGTGTTCCTGGCTAATGTTGCTTTTCCGATTTTGGTTACTGTTTTCTTTCGATATATCAAGTTACTTTCCATGCAGGAAATTGAAGCAAATGAGAATCGCAGGCTTGAGCTACAAGCTATGGTCGAGGAAGCCATAGGCAACAATGGGAACAAAACATACCTTCGAATTCTCAGTCAATACAGACTCCTGGTAAATATATTATTATGATGCCCCTAGTTTGGTAGAGATTAAAGGCAGCATGTAAACCTTGAATTTATATCTTTGGCACTCATTTTTCAACTATCAATACTGGCCTAAAAGAAAGCTATTGCCTCTGGAATTTGGTGAAATATTTGCTTAATGCTAGAAAACTCTTCAGATTTCTTTCCCCATCATTTCCCTTTTTGGCGGTTGTATATTCTTCATTTTGGCTGTGGTCTGATATCAGTAGGTGGACTAATTATGTACCCAAAAGATACATGGTGGTGGTTAATGAGACTTTTTAAGATTGCAAATAACATAATCACATTTATTTACTAAAACACTAAAATGATGCAGGGAATGTCTAATACTGAGCTTCAGTTTGAAATAGCAATGAGAGATCAAGTCATTTACAATCAAAGGGCAGCACAAACAAAACTGTGGAATTTACTTCTGAGCTTAGGCCTGGATGAGAAGCAGATATTGGACCTTGTTGCCAAGCAAGGAATAACAATTGAAGACCGGGTGATGACACCACAGCTTAAGCTTTCAGGTACGACACAACCCCAAAATATGCAAGGTGGAGGAAGATATACTCCAATTTCCTCTCGATCCACTTCAAGGCACTTCACCAACTCGTCCGGTGGCCTTCCACATGATCAATACTTTTGTGCTAGACCATTTATCATAGAGAATCAGAAACTCCCTCAAATGTACTGCAGAGAAGATCATCATAGTTCATATCAGTATTCTCATGATTACTCCCTTCCAGCTTATACAGGGCCTAGTAGAGGTGGATATTGGACTAGTAGCATGCCCCCGAGTTCCCAATATGGCATTCCTGACAAACATCTTCAGGATTTCTCCAGTTCACATATGCAGACAAGAAGCCAATTTCCTCCATGAAGTGAGAGCAGTATGTCATTACAACTTCATTCACTCAACCATTAAACAGCAACAGCAGGTACCTGATATTAGATATATGTAATGTTTGTTGAGCATATAACCATCCAACTATCAGCTTAGGCTTTTAGTTGAGATGGAGCACATGGACCAACGGTCATGGGTTCGAATCTCTACGTCACCCCATAAGTGACTACGGTCCACGTGTTGCTTGGAACCCACCCTCTGTTGAGCATATAACCATTAATGTGCAATCCAACTATCAGCTTAGGCTTTTAGTTGAGTTGGAGCACATACTTCAATTATGTTGATGAATTTTCGTTGCCTGCCTCAGTAACTAAGCAGGATACATGGAATAAGCAGTGTCGGGCAGCAATTGCACCCAAGAAAGTATCTACCATGTGACGATGGATTGCAAATCTCAGGCTTGGGACTCAGGTTGTACAATATTCCAACTCTACCCTTGTATTTTGTGAACCAATACAATTGAACCTGTACAATATCCCAGTGCTGCTGCTGCCTTCTTCCTATGTTGCACTATAACAAGTCTCTTGTGCCCATACCCTTCATTCTCTCTCAGCCGCCTAACTTCAAAGAGATCCTTTCTACTTTTGTCTCATCCTCTGTAAGAATTACAGAGCCTGATAGCCATAGTTGCACCCAAATAGATTCATTCCTCATAGTTCAATTCAATTGATTTTTCTGTGTATCCAGGAAGATGTGTGAATCTTATTTTGTAGCTACAGAGTACGTGAACCTAGTTTAGACACTTGGTAGTAAATAGCAGGACAGAGTTGCCTGGAATGAGACGGTTAAACTGTCAAAATGATACTATTTTTGTCTGATTTTTCTGTGACAAAAATTGGGGTTAATCGAATTTCCTTTTCTCTACATTGTATCGTGCAGTTCAGATACATAATTTTTGGGGTGATAAATTGAGATTGCATTAATACTTTTATGAGTTTATCTGACTCAACTTACCATTAATATTATATATTTAATATTTTAGTTTAATTTACTATTATTTTTAATAGTAAACTAAATTAGTAATATGTGACATGTTAAAGACTTGAAATTTTTATTTAATAAATTAGATTTAAGAACTAGATATAGTTAAGTGGTTGAGTCCAAAATAGCAGAAATACACTACTTGAAAAAATAAAATATTATATGGGACCAAACACAACTTGAAGTTGAGTAAGTTAAGTATTAGTAAATAAGTTTTTTTAAACAAAAGCAAAGAATGAAAACTGAAAATTTTAAAAACAGAAAACAGTTTCCGAATAGACCTTTTATTTTTTTCACCCAATTCTTTTATAAATGAGTTAATTGCAAGAATGATTCTTGGAATATTGTTATTTATCAATTTTTATCTTTGATTTTCAATTGGATCATAAATGATCTATTTGACTATTATTTTTAATAATTTTTATTATCAACTTTCAATTTGATCATATATGGTCTCTTAATTATTGATTTTGTTTCAAATTTAGTCATTTAATTAAATATTTATATTTATTTAGTATACATTAAATTTAATGGTAATAATGTAAAAATTAGAATAATTTTATTCTAATTTAGGAATATAGAATATAAAATAAATAGATACATAAATTTTTACATGAAAATTATACATGTGAAAATCACAAGCATTTTTGGCGGTGTCAAACTAAATTACTATAATTTTGGGTGTTTGGACTATGAATATTTTCATAGGATGTTTATAGTCTATAGTAGGAACTAGGAAGGAGAGCTTTTGATTTTTTTATTTGTTTTTTTTTTTTGAATCATGAGCGGGAGAAGGGGGGACATAAATTTTTAGTTTTTTTTTTTTTTTTAATGAACAAAAAGTATACAAATACAATGTAAACAATCATTAATTTAATACAATGTTTTTGATAGTCCCTCCGTAGGAGAAATAGAAGTGCAATTGGAAGCAGAAAGAAAGTTGTAATGGCATCCACCGCCGACCCATCGGAGTCTTTCAAGCCCTACAAGCTCAAGCAAACCCTAACCGGCCATAAACGCGCTATCTCCTGCGTCAAATTCTCCGATAATGGCCGCTTTCTCGGCACTTCCTCCGCCGACAAGACCGCCCGCGTTTGGTCCGTCTCCGATGCCTCTCTCCTCCACGAATTCCAGGGCCACGACCAGGGCATCTCCGACCTCGCCTTCTCCTCCGACGGCCGCTACCTCGCCACCGCCTCCGACGACAAGACCGTCCGCCTCTGGGATGTCGCCACCGGCGCCGTCGTCAAAACTCTTACTGGCCACACCAATTACGTCTTCTGCGTCAACTATAACCCCCAGTCTAACATGCTCGTCTCCGGTTCCTTCGATGAGACGGTGAGAATTTGGGATGTGAAGAGCGGGAAGTGCCTTAAGGTGTTGCCGGCGCACTCGGATCCGGTCACCGCCGTGCATTTCAGTCAGGACGGGAAATTGATAGTATCCAGCAGCTACGATGGGTTGTGTAGGATTTGGGATGCTTCAACTGGGCATTGTATGAAGACATTGATAGACGATGAAAACCCGCCTGTCAGTTTCGTCAAGTTCTCACCCAATGGCAAATTTATTCTCGTCGGAACTTTGGATAATACATTGGTAAAATCTCTTCTTCTTTTCCCATTACACCTATTTCTTTTCTACCATTATTTCATCTTTCTCCTAGTGCTAGATTCAACAACAAAGATTGAATTTTTATAATTTTTGGTGTACCCAAGGTGTCCACTGAATCATTGTAAGCCTAGCCTATAAAGGACCACAAAGGTAATCTTAGTATAGATGGTCACTTGTTGTCCATAACTGGTTGTCCATAACTGGCCTACATTGGCACCACAAAGAGTTAAATAGCTTAAGTTGTCCATAACTGGCCTACATTGGCCTAGGTTGCCCATAACTGGCCTACATTGGCCTAGGTTGCCCATAATTGGCCCTATGTTGGCCTAGGTCGCCCATAACTAGCCTAGTTTACCTATAACTACTTAGGTTGCCCATAACTAGCCTAGTTTACCTATAACTACTTAGGTTGTCCATAACTGATCTAGGTTGTCCATAGCTGACCTCTTCAAACTAAGAAGGTCAATAGGCTGCTCTTGCCAGAGTCTTGAACATGTAACCTTGTGTTACCAAGTTGACCAATCCGACCAACTTGACTGAGTTGTCCCAATTTTTAACAATGTTTGGGGTTGGGGATGGGGGAGTTTGGTTGGTAGTAAAAGAATTTGTTGAGAAACATAATAAAGTTCAATGAGTAGTTTGTTTCATTCATTCTGCCATTTCATATGTTTTGATATATATGAGGCTGCAAACCCAATCTCTCATGTTAATTTATGTAGATCATACTATGCACTTTGATTACAGACTTACAGCTGTGCTAAGCAATCTCTTAACTGAAACTGAAGTATTATGTACTACTAGCTTCTCTGGACTGAAGTACATTTATTGCCAGTTTAAGCAACTAAAGAAATTTCGATTCCTTTCTGTGGCATATTGGTTCATTAACTTGTAGCTTGGAGCGTATGCCCATCTGATAGGGTGGAAGGAAAAGTTTCTTCTTTTTCTTATTCAATTATGCGTCTAAATCAGTGTAGGATTACACTGATTTATTTGTTGAAGATTTTTATTTCTAGTGCTAGTTTAGCTGTGATCTTGAGACATACTTCGATGCATTATTAAGTCATTGTAATTTAGAGAGGAAGTGATGATGTGCTGAGCTGGTAAGCGTTTTTTTGTTGGCCTAACAATCAATGCCTTATTTTTCATCTCTAAATGTTTCCGTTTTGCAGCGTCTATGGAACTTCCCGACTGGCAAATTTCTGAAAACCTATGTCGGGCACACCAACTCAAAGTACTGCATTTCCTCGACATTTTCCGTCACGAATGGGAAGTACGTTGTTAGTGGTTCTGAGGATAATTGCGTATATTTTTGGGAGCTTCAGTCGAAAAAAATAGTTCAAAAGCTGGAAGGGCACACTGATGCTGTTATATCGGTTTCATGCCATCCCACTCAGAACATGATTGCTTCTGGTGCCCTTGGGAATGATAAGACAGTAAAGATCTGGACTCAAGAGGATTAAGTAAAGGAGAGTTTACGAGGGAGGGATGAATTTCTGGATGAGAGATTTTGGCATATTTTGAAATGCCACAGAGCCTAACATAATTTCCTTGTAGTATTCTGATGAACTAATCTGTGCTTTCCATCTGGTGTCATTATACTGTAAGAAATACAGATTTGTTTACTGCCATCTTATTATGGATTTACAGTTTTTTGGGTGACCAAATTGTTGGTGTTTTTGTAGTACAAGTAAAATCTGTAGTATCTATCCATACATACTTTCTCAACTTATTGAAATACAAAGAGTTAATGACCCCACTAGGGTTCGCTTGACAATTGGAATAATGCCAATATAAGCTGCAAATGAATATAAATTACTCCATTTGTCTTATTTTACCTATTCTGTTTAATATTCACAAGTCGAACCAACTTTTCCCTTCTTGTTTATTATATATACTAATTCTAAATTTAATATTATTATTAATTCTAAATTTAATATTATGAAAAAATTGACTGAACCAAACACATAAAATGGAAAAGAGTACAATTTTTATGTGAAGCAATCAAGACAAAGTGACAACAATACACTACTACACTGGGTATTGCATCTCGTCACGAGACGAAATTTGGTCCGTAGTTCTTCCAAGAGTGTTGTTGCATATACGTGGGTTCGGACGATTCCATTTCTGCATTCTTCATCTGTTTGGTTCCAGATTATCCTTCTATCTTTCCCCTTTTATTACAAGGATATAATGATATTATTCTGATAATCATAAACATAAAAACTTTATTACAAAGACCCATCCAAGGCATCTACCAGACAAGTCTAACTCATCATTTTCTTATAAATGTGACACCCTTCTGAATACTTGCTGCTAGCTCTTCTTGTGCCTTTTGCAGCCCAGCCCTGAAATAATGACAAGCTGTATAAACATCTACTGGGATTATAGTAATTTTTCTCGATTTAGTCCTAAACGTCTTTTTGTGCTTAATTAGGTTCTGAACTTCGATAATTTTACCTAATTGAGCCATCTGTTAAGATAGCTTGGTTAGTCATTGACTATAGTGGTTTTTATCAATATAGTTATTAATTCTAACAGTCGATGACTCAATTAGGTAAAACCATTGAAGTTCAGGACCTACTTAAGCACCTAGGACTAAATCGAGAAAAACCACTACAGCCAAAGACTAAATTGAGTATTGAATCGAATTTGGTGTCGAACCTTTCATAGTCATTCAGGGGACCAAGTGAGTAAATCTCTTCAACTCCATTGCGGCCGAGCAATACTTTGGATGCAAAGAAAGGAAGCTCAGTCACCTGAAAAGACGACTGATTGTGTTATGAACAATAACGGTAACCGCAAAGTAGTGAAATATGAAGGCGCGCTTTCTTTAGAAAATTTAAGCAAAGCGGGATAAAAGATTTATGCCTGGGAAGACACATAGGCACATTCGACAACTCCAGCATCCCCTCTTAATCCTCGCAAGCACGCATCTGCGAATTTAACAGCTGCATATGCCTGCCATGCATAATAGATAAATTTCACTGTTATCTAATGCAACTCGTACTAGAAAACGAAGTGAAATAGAGAATAGAAACAATTTCTCACCATAGACAGAGTTGCAGATCCCGCACCAGCCTTTGCCTGATATTAAAAATATAAAAAACATAAAATAAATACGATTTAAACAGTAGCTAAAGCACTTTTTAAGGATTTAAACAGAAGAAAACGTCAAATAAGACAAGTTCTACCTGATTAACTAGTCAATATCCAAAACAAAATTTCTGGAAATACAGGTGGAGTTCATAAATAAATCATAATATAATACCTCAACAACTTCTGTGCCCCCATTCTGAATACGGGAGGTCAGATACTCGGTTTCCTCGGGGGACAAAGAACATGGAGGTTTAACCTGTCCCATAAAACGAAAGAAGCAATAGTTTACATCAATCATACGAATTTATAGGCCCAATCTTGAAAATAACTCGAATAAGTTCTTCACACCTGAGACAAAAGAGGTAAAATTGTAACTCCAGCATGACCACCTACAACCGGAACATCCACTTCCCTTGGATCAAGCCCCAAAACTTCAGCCTGCATTAATGAAACAACATAACCAGTCAGCAAGCAAGACAAGCATTGTATGTCATCCTTTTAGTGCTCGAAATTCCGGAAACTCAACAACCTTAATAACAGAAAAGGAAATGAAACTCAGGGAATGAACAGTAAGTTATATACCACAAATGTATTGGCTCTCACTACATCAAGCTTTGTCACTCCCAAAAGCAGCTTGGGATCGTAAGTTCCAGCCCTTTTGAAAACCTCAGCTGCAATTGGAACAGTTGAGTTTACAGGATTACTAATTACATTGACAATGGCTTTGGGACAGCACTTTGCGATTCCTTCACATAAGGTCTTAACTATTCCGGCATTAATGTTGAAAAGATCATCCCTCGTCATTCCTGGTTTTCTAGGAACACCAGCAGGAATGACTACAAGATCCATGCCAGTGAGAGCATTCTCCAACTGTTGTGGCCCCAAAAAACCACGCACCTAGAAATTCAATATTTGTGTTAAAAACAGTACAAATTTCTTTTCTAGAATAACTATTGTTCTACACTTCTACAGGTAGAACATAGCCAGACACAAGGCTTCAAGTCTTCAACAAATCCTTGCTAGGCATTGAAGCAATAAGAGCACTGCCAAGTATAAGGTGTATTGACAACAGTACGGAAGTTGGTTGATACCAGTTCATAAAAATTGGGTTAATGCAACACATAAACCGTACATCGATCATGTCTAGCCACACAAAACTGCAAAGGGTTCAAGCATAATTGGTTTAATCATGCTTCCAATAAACCTTTTTTGAGCAACATTCTAGATTCAAACTCTAATAATATGTTCAAGCTAGCATGTGATGTCCAATCGAATATATGGCAAATTAGATTGAAATACTACAGAATAATGGAGTTCATCTTCGCACATTAATATATTGGATAATAGGGAAATTTTCATTTCTTATTATACCCGTGGTACAGACTTAGTCCTTGAGGTATAGGTCTGACCATCTTTAACCTCTAAGTTTTGTAGAAAGTGACAAATTTAGTCCCTAAAAGACCAAATCTCTCTTTATTCAGTCACATATTGGTGGCAGAAATAGTCTCCGAAGACCAAAATCGCCAATGATCACACATATAACACTAAGTCTATATAACATTATAACTAAAGAACCAAAAATACAATTTTTGCTTGGATTATTATTAAGGAACATAAAGCTATGTAGATAGAAGTTACCACTGCACCAGTGTCCATGTGGCTGATATCAGCTGTAACACCGGGCGTATTCACCACATCATAGAGATGCAGAACTGAAACCAGTGGATTCATCTTCATGAGCAAAGCAAGAGGCTGGCCTATACCCCCTGCAGCACCCAAAATCGCAACTTTGAATCCGGGCGATCCCCCTTTAGCCCTGCAATTCGCCATCCCCAACCCAGAACTCCCCTCCATCTTTAAAACCAACCACAACCAAACAGATCAGTTCCTTCCATGGTCAATCATATCCAAAATCAAAATTTTCACATAACCAAACAATAATATAACAGTAAAAACAACAAATTCCAAGTCTATGCCATCGAATTAGGGAGGAGAGGGGAAAGAATCGCGAGTGACCTGGGAATCAGAAGAAGGGCAGAGGTGAGCTGAAATTCGGGCGATTCTTCGATTGATATCTGCACGGCGCTGCATATTTCTGCGTTTTGTGTGTTGCGATCAGCGTGAAAAGGAGATTATTATACAAAAGCGTTGTATGTGAAAGAAGAGGGAAATCGGTAGTTCGGGTGAGGAATGAACGGAATGGGAAATCGTTAATCGTTAATAATAATGTAAAAACAAGAAGTCAAGAACAATATCAACTGAGTTGGTTAAATATTTGATTTGGTGTCTATAAATAAGGATTTTTTTTTTTTTTTTTTTTTTGAGAAAAACATCAGCTCAATAGTATCATCTTCTCCCACATCTTTCCTTATTTATAGACATCTTTGGGTTACTTATTCAAAGTAATTTAATTTATTTATTTTTGCTTTTTTTTTCTTTCCTTGAATTAAAAATAAGAATATTTGTTACATTGATTTTTCTACCATCTAATATAATAATAAAGTTATTTTTATCACATTGACCATATTTATGTTTTAAAAAATAACTAGGACTATTTGATCTAATGGTATCCGGGTTGGATTTCCATTTGGAAGATTATAAGTTCGAGCCTCAGTGGAGGCGAACAGATACTATAATCTAATATAGAGCTAGTAACATTTAAAAAATATATATTTATTAATTAAATATGAATTATATACTGTAATATTTAATTAATTTTTTTTTTTCCTATGGGTCCATATAGGCATATGGCATGATTAAAAAAAATACTCCGTATATATATAATATGGAAAGATGTGGGAAATGAGTTGTTGGGATTTGTGAAGATTGGGAATTGGGAAGTGGATAAAACATATCAAAATGAACAGTTTTTTAGTTTCTGGTGGTATATATAAAGGAAAATATGATGGGTAATCGTATTTTTTTCTTTTAATTTTTACTAGTATTTTTACCCGTGCGATGCACGAAATGAAATTGTTGTAATATACTAAGAATATTTAAATTGATATATAATTATTTAAGAGTTAATTTCACCAGAGGTTGCTTATAGAATTTCTATTACCATCATTAATTATCTCTAATTTATCATAATTAAATAATTTGACCAATTATAAAGAGAGATTATTAAAAAATGCACGAGACAATTTTTTAATTCAAAAATTTAAAAATTCATTAATAAAACATAAAGTTCTCATAGTTTTTTCTTAGAAACTAATTAATAAAGCATTTTTTTTTGAAATTGGTGGGCCAAACCGCCTACGGCAGTTTGCGGTGGATATATCTCAAAAAAATACACAATTTTAAAAAAATATTTGTCCAAAACGGACAACCGAGTCAAAAGTTATGCATTGCCGAACTTTTGACACTTCACAACTTTTACCCATAATTATTGTACGAATGGGAAAGTAGAAATCAATATATTTTATTGGGAATAGAGATTTTTTAGGAATTGGCGGGAAGTTAAAATTTCAGAATTTTGTTTTTATATACAGTATAGATTAGATGTGCAAAGAGAATTGTATTACACTATTTTATAATTTTAGAATAGAATTTTTACCAAGAATTATTGTACGAATGGGAAATTAGAAATTAATATATTTTATTGGGAAGAGAGATTTTTTAAGAATTGGGCGGGAAGTTAAAATTTCAGGATTTTGTTTTTATATATAGTATAGGTTAGATGTGCAAAGAGAATTATATTACACTATTTTATAATTATAGAATAGAATTTTTACCCAGAAATATTTTAGGAATGGCAAAGTAGAAATCAATATATTTTATTGGGAAGAGAGATTTTTTAGGAATTGCGCGGGAAGTTAAAATTTCAGAAGTTTGTTTTTATATACTCCGTATAATATAGATTAGATGTGCAAAGAGAATTGTATTACACTATTTTATAATTTTAGAATAGAATTTTTAACCAGAATTATTGTACGAATGGGAAAGATGAAATCAATATATTTTATTGGGAAGAAAGATTTTTTAGGAATTGAGCGGGAAGTTAAAATTTTAGGATTTTGTTTTTATATATAGTATAGGTTTGATGTGCAAAGAGAATTATATTACACTATTTTATAATTTTAGAATAGAATTTTTACCCAAAATTATTGTACGAATGGGAAAGTAGAAATCAATATATTTTATTGGAAAGAGAGATTTTTTAGGAATTGGGCGGGAAGTTAAAATTTCATAATTTTGTTTTTATATATAGTATAGATTAGATGTGCAAAGAGAATTGTATTACACTATTTTATAATTTTAGAATAGAATTTGTACCCAGAATTATTGTACGAATGGGAAAGATGAAATCAATATATTTTATTGGGAAGAGAGATTTTTTAGGAATTGGGCGGGAAGTTAAAATTTCAGGATTTTGTTTTTATATATAGTATAGGTTTGATGTGCAAAGAGAATTATATTACACTATTTTATAATTTTAGAATAGAATTTTTACCCAGAATTATTGTACGAATGGGAAAGTAGAAATCAATATATTTTATTGGAAAGAGAGATTTTTTAGGAATTGGGCGTGAAGTTAAAATTTCATAATTTTGTTTTTATATATAGTATAGATTAGATGTGCAAAGAGAATTGTATTACACTATTTTATAATTTTAGAATAGAATTTTTACCCAGAAATATTGTACGAATAGGAAAGTAGAAATCAATATATTTTATTGGGAAGAGAGATTTTTTAGAAATTAGGCGGGAAGTTAAAATTTCAGGATTTTGTTGTTATATATAGTATAGATTTTATATACAAAATTTTGATGTAAAGATTTATATTAAGATTCATACAAAAAATTTTTTATCAGTGTTTATTACATTAGTAACAAATTTAAAGAGTAAGATTTGAGAATTTAGGTTGTAGAACTTATATATAAATGGGCCAACTGTCGAAGCCTGAAGGCTTTGGTTTTAGTTGTCATTCACTTAACCTACATATGATGTCAGCTCAGGCCCAATATACTTGGGTTAACGAAAACCTTGAAGATAGAGCAAATTATACCGTAAACTATGATCTATTATGCTTATTGTAAATTCTGATATAAATTATGTAGATATAATTAACATACTATATACTTTAGTTATTAGGTTATGTATCAAGGTTGGATGGTGATTAACACAGATGCACCTTTATTCGGTGTTTGGTGGGAAGAAATGAATTAAGGAGGAAAGGAATTGTAATTCGGTAGGAACAGAATAAAGTAGGAATTCAAATTACAGTGTTTGGTATGCATGAATAGGATTATAGGGAATTAAAAGGTAATAAGTGATATAATGACTGAAATGTCCTTATGTAATGATAAATGAGGGAGTGGATGAGAATAATGAAAAGGTAAAATTGTCTTCACAACAATATAGTCTCCCATTCCACCAATGAATTACAATTCATAGGGGGTGTCATATATTGCAATTCGGTGAATGGGTGGTGTGAACAAAGAAAATTGAATATATATTTAGAAATTCAAAGTTCTGGTTTACATATCAAGTATCAATGCGGTGTGGGTACATGTCTCTGGATATCCTCTGATTCTTCAATTGGTGCCTTGAACACTCCACCATTGAAGGGTCTCCGGGTTTCAAGTGGCTTGATCTTCAAAGAAGGGCTTGTATATATAGCTTGTTCTTCTTGAAGGGCCTCCGGGTTCAAATGGTTTGATCTTCAATGGAGGTTGGCTTGATCTTCAAAGAAGGGCTTGTATATATAGCTTGTTATTCTTGAAGGGCCTCCGGGTTCAAATGACTTGATCTTCAATGGAGGTTTGGATCAATAGGCATAGGCATGATCATTATGGAGGAGAGACTTCTACTTTCAGGATCACATTTTCATTGTGATCTCTGAATAATATATATTTTAGATGTTTACATCACTTTTCCTATGATGTGTGTGATTACATTGAAATGAGAGCTCCTATTTATAGGGATAGAGAGTTTTGATAAGGTCAAACTCTTTTGATATTATCTAATTAACAAATTAGATAATTGATATATTATCCAAAATATTTCAAATATATTCAAATATACTAATATTGATAAATAATCAATATTTATCAAAATTTAAGTGTCTACAGGTGGAATTGCAATTCCCCCCAACCAAACAACGTAATTGAAGAAAGAAACGAATTGCAATACAACTACAACGAAATTACATCTAACCAAACGGGTTATTTAATTCTTGTAATGAGATATTAGAAAGGGGACTGGGTTGTTGGTTATGGCATAAGATCGAGATTAGGAAACATGATTTGGATGGTGAACGTGCAAACAAGTGTAAACGCAAGCTCAGAAACCCCTTGTTGGTCGTCATTTGCTGAATTCCCAAAAAAAAAGAATCGACAGAAAATGAAAAGACGCACGCGACATGAATCCATGTTTTCCAGATAGATCGAGTTCCCAGGCCAGGGAGCTTGGACTTTTGCGTCCTTACATTAATTTTTCATAGTATAGGAACCAAAACATCTATCTGTCGACACGATCGAAAACATAAAAACACAGACAAAATGTTAATGTATAAGTTAAGGTGTTGATTTGATTATAACCAACACTAATTGACTACTCATCTCATCTACTACTACTACTATACGTAGTGTATTATAATGGGTGATGTGAACTAGGACGCTGGACAAATCTGCCATAGCCCTGCCGCCATTGTGAAAGCAACTCTGCTTCTCATCTGTTTCTTTTACTCTTTTATCCCATTCATTACATCATCAATTGATGATCAACCCTGCAATATATATATATATATATATATATATATATATATATATATATATATATATATATATATATATATATATATATATATATATATATATATATATTGCATGGTTGATCATCAATTGTATGAGAAGGGTAGAGAACACCTATTTAGGTGAGATTATGTGATCAAATTTTGTGCATCAATTTAATAAATTTTAATGGTTTAGATCAATTGCGTTCGCACACATTAATCACATTCGCACACACTTAATTGAGTTCATACACATTTAATCACATCCGCACACACTTAATCTAGATCACTCTAGACCATTAAATTTATTAGATTAATGCACAAGATTTGATCTCACAATGTCACCTAGACCAATCTAGATCAATCGCATTTGCACACACTTAATCGCGTTAGCACACATTTAATCGCGTTCGCACACACTTAATCTATACCATTAAAATTAATTAGATTGATGCACATTTAATCTCACAATCTCACCTAAACAGGTGCATTTGT